ACACAGCAGTTAATTCTCGGAATATAGTGTTGCCAGATCGGTCATTCGTTCATTCATTGCAGTCAAACCATTGTGTTTGTAACGATTTTGAAACATCGCAATATGTTAGCCACCCATGACATCATGAAGCAGATATTTGGTTCAGAGAAGTCGTGAATGAGATTTTTGTATGTGTGGGCTCGAGGTTAAGATTTATGGCTTCTTATCGTGGTCTTAGCACAGAGATTCACTGCTAGCATTGCTAGAGAGCATTATACGCGACAACGTCGTATGGAAAATGCTGAAATGAGAAACAGCTGTTCTATGACACAGATTCGGACTGCTATTCAACCGATTCTGAATGTGGCGTGGAAGGTTGGTCTTCTGATGCCTGAAATTGAGAACAGCTGTTCAATGACAGATTATGAGAGGGGCGAGCAAAGTTGGAATTCTGATTCCGCGGACGACGGGTCATCACCTTCGTCGGCAACTTGGGGACCGCCAGACCAGTGTGGCTGGAGAGGTGTGAATAATTATTCCGGTGTAGCTGCGGGGATAAATATTACTGAAGCTCGACATCACTGGCCTGCTTCCTCTAAATCGCAACTGAGGTGTCGTGTGTGCTTTTCGCGAGGGAAGCGGTCTAGCGTTCGTACGAAGTGCGTGTGCTGCGACGTCGGATTCTGCATTTGGGAATTTTTTCGGCAGTACCATACGAAGGCCACATTACCATAGATGACGCAGGGGGGAAGGCTGTTTCCTCATGAAGATGGTGAACATATATCACGTAAGTAGAGCAAAAATTTAATTTTAAAAAAATCTTTACACGCGTGCAATGCGCGAAATCATATGAGGTCGTTCGGACATATGACGTCGGTAGATTACATTAGATCACGCAGGAGGGAAGGCTGTCACCTTATAAAGGTTGTGACCAAAAATTATGTAAATAGAANCTTATAAAGGTGGTGACCAAAAATCATGTAAATAGAACAACAATTTATATTTTTAATATAATATTAAAAAAAACCTTACACGCGTGGAATCCGCGACATCATATGATGACGTTCAGCCAGCTGCCCTTACTTTTAACGACATCATATGATGACGTTCGTCCGATAAAGGTTAAAAATTCGACAACCTCCGCCGGGTTTGAACCCGCGTGCCACGAGTAATGAGGTGGGAATGTTACCTCTAGACTACGGAGGCCGCTCATCAGCTGTTGGTCTATGCCGATGATGTAAATCAACTGGGTGATAATATAGATACAATAAAGAGAAACGCACAAACTTTAGTTGCTGTCTCGTCACCAAAATGCAGGGCAAAATCATGACATAACGATTGGAAACAGATGTTTTGAAAATGTGGCACAGTTCAGATATTTGGGAACGACAATAATAAATCAAAACCTGGTTGAGGAGGAAATTAAGAGGAGACTGAACCCGGGTAATGCTTGCTACCATTCGGTCCAGAACCTCCTGTCTTCTCGTCTGCTGTCAAAAAACATAAATATTAGAATACACAGAACTACAATTTTGCCCCTTGTTCTGTATGAGTGTGAAACTTGCTCTCTGAAATGAAGGGAAGAATTTAGACTGAGGGTGCTTGAGAACACGGTGTTGAGGGGAATATTTGGACCGAAGTGAGATGAAGTGACAGGAGGTTGGAGAAGACTGCATAATGAGCTTTATAACTTGTACTCTTCTCCAAGTATAATTAGAATGACCAAATCAAGGAGGATGAGATGGGCAGGTCATGTAGCACGAATGGGGGAGAAGAGGAATACATATAGGGTATTGGTGGGAAAGCCAGAGGGAAAGAGACCACTGGGAAGACCAAGGCATAGGTGGGTGGACAATATTAAAATGGATCTTATAGAGATAGGATGGGATGCTATGGATTGGGTTGATGTGGCTTAGGAAAGGGACCAATGGAGGGCTCTTGTGAACACGTTAATGAACCCTTGGGTTCCATAAAATGCTGCGAAATTCTTGAGTAGCTGCAGATTTGGTTGTCTGGTATGATGGTATTTTTTTTATTGCTAGTGGGGTGGGACTAAGTCCATTGTACTGCGGCCACTTCTGGCCTATTGTACCAGCCCCAGATGATAGGTGAGGGTGATTGTGGAGCAATTGGTGGAATGAAGGTTGGCAAGGGAAACCGAAGTACTCGGAGAAAACCCGCCCCAGCGCACCTTTGTCTACCACAAATCCCACTTGACCAGACCCGGGATCGAGCCCGGGCCGCCGCAGTGGGAAGCCAGCAGCTAACCGCTTGAGCTATGGCGCGGCCTCATATGACAGTAAATACAGAATTTGTTATAAAAGAAAAAAAAATAATGATGCCCAAAGCAAAGTCAAGTTTACCGCTACTTGTTGTAGAAGACTGATAATAGATGGCACCGCAATGTACATTTATCTAATGTATTTATTGACTTTCTTGATTGTGTTGTAATGCAGTTATATATTTTTTGACATTAAATGTTAACTATCCATCTGCGTACCACCCTACACGTGACAGTATTTTACATTTCAGAGACTAATATTGGAGTCTTTCAGTATTAACGTTTCTCACGTTAGGTCAAGTATGCTTTGACCTTCTAACAACCACGAATGCATAGTGATGTTGGAACGCATACGCTGTGCATGTGGTGTAATATGAAGGTGGACAAAGCGCATTGCAGTTTATGTTTTCATGGGAGTCTGTATAATTGCCTGTGGCATAAGAAATAATTCTAAATTAACACGTTATTAATATAAGCGCGTTAGGTCTACATCATTACACCACAAATATTTTAATTTAATTTGATGCAGTATATGCAAATATCTATCAAACAAAATTTTATACTAATTTCTTTCTACTAATAATTAGGTCAATTTTAAAACGCCATTTTGTGTTATTCATGAAAGAATTAACAGAAATTATCAATACCAGAATTTCAGAACATATATTGTACAGATGGGATAGAACACTGGTCACTCACCCAAGACTTAATGTAGAAATGTAAACAGACTTTGAGAATGAAGAAAGCAGTCTTCTGGGATTTGGCACCGTGTATATGTGGTGTTAACCGACGTTAACCGACTTTGACAACATTGGAACAGCTGATGCCTACCAGCTGTTTCTGGGGAGCGTGAGCGCCAACAACAAGATAGTAATTAAACTAGTCAATTAAGGAAAAATAACTGTTTTCTTACATTTCTAACACTTTCACTCATCATGAAATAGCATCTTATGAAATTCAAGCATTAATTCATTTTCTGTATTTGGATTCTATATCTGGTCAGGATTTATATAATTTAATTTTTAGGGGGTTGGAATTCCGATATGTTTTTGGTATGGTGCAAAGAAGTCGGAAAGTAATGCGATAAATAAGTAAGTTTTTATGTTGAATGTTCATTAAAATGTTCGTTCGTTGACAAATGTCTCAATGAAACCGTAATTAGTTATTATCTTTGAAATTTGTATGGTGCTTTTGGTTTTCTTTTTTTGTTTGTATATATACGTAGGTGAGTCAAATGAAAACCGTAAAACAGATAAAAATTCGAAATATCGCGCCATTGTCCTATACGTTGGCAGATGTGTTACGAATGCTATAAAGAGTATCCTATAGGAGGCAGTATAATTCAGACAAACAGAACACCATCACAGTGCAGGTTTGAAGATGGCTACTGTAATAGATAGGTACACGAAAGAAGAACAACGTTCAGTAATTTGTTTTTCGATCAGTGAAGGTGTGAAACCGATTGAAGTTCATCGATAGATGAAGGTTCGGTATGGTGATGCATGCTTGTCACAGCAGCAAGTGTACAAGTGGAGTAGGAAATTCAGAAATGGTGTGACGTCTGTGGCAGACGCTCCTCATCCGGCTCAGGTGCACAGAGTTGTGACCCCTGAGTCTGTTAGTCTGTTGCAGCAGTTGAAGCCCTAGCGATGGAGAATCGCCAAGTGTCGGTGGATGAAATAGCCGAAATTCCTAACATGAATCACGGATCAGCACACCATGCCATTCAAGATGTGCTCCAGTTTCACAAAGTGTCTGCAAGGTGGGTGCCACAGCAGCTGACTCCAGAATTGAAACAACAACGTGTTGACACCTGTAAAGAACTTCTGCGGCGCCTTGAAGCAGAAGGTGGTGGCTTTCTTTTGAGAATCGCTACTGGTGATGAACTGTTAGCTTCACTGTTTGCAGGTCTAAAGTATAAGAGCCACATGGATACACAACAAAGGCGTATATTACTTTTGTCTACCTCTGTAGTGTATGGTTCCAAGTATCTTCATTATGCAACGGATGACATAAATAAGTTTTTGAAAAGTAAGTTGTGGCATTTGACCGCATGGTAACTGAAATTACAAGAGCCCAGTGCTCAAGTACCAGTGTTATTAGATATACGAGTATAATGCATTATACCCATATTAATACCTCGTGCTTTTGTCATCCTTGCAGGCACAATGTTTCACGTATCCTCTTTGTACCATATGCATTACATGATTACGATGAAT